TTAGGGGTTTAGGGGTTTAGGGTCGCAATGCACCGCCGTGTACAAAGCCAAGACAGCCAAAGCCGCAATCACAGTTTCATTGCGAACTGACGGCTATGGTCACACATAAACCACAATTCAGAAGACGAACTACAAGAATCAAGCACACTTACAGTATGGACGACCTAGAGGACCTAGACCCGAAGAACTAGGACTCTTCCAAAAGAGTTCCCACGGTTCATGAACAATAGTAAGGGTTCAGGGATGAACAACAGCAAGTAGCAACATGCCGGCAGCGACATTCAGTGCATCTAACTGGCAGACATAAGGACAGGCAGAGTCTGGAAGAGTTAACAAGGAGGTCGCAAAGATGCTAGTGAGCTGCTAGTGCAACTGCTGGACAGGCATCTGCATCGGAACAAGTAGGAGAAGCTGAAGCAAGCTCACACTATACATGATCATCAACGACTTCAGAACATGCCGAATACGCAACTAGAAGCAAAAAACGGCTTGCCGCCACCAGCGTATAAACAGACAAGGTGTGCAACAACAATATCCGTAGCAAAAGCTGCATGACTGCCGCACAGTCTTGCCCAAGCAACAGGGAACACATCGAAAGTGGCAGACACTGGATTCCTAGAGCAAGCCACAAGTCACGACGAAGTTGTTCAAACACGAAAAATCATGGCGATAGCACCGAGACATGTCAAACCAAACACCACGTCCCCTGCGTGATGTTGACATTACCACGACATCGTCGCCACAACTAACACCAAAATCTATGTAAGGTCTTTGCGGCCAAGCAGGAGAACAAGCCATGAAAGGGACTGATGCTGTGGCTGTAGTTGATGCGTTTGCTACCGGGAAAAATGTTGGCGATCACGCCGCAAGCGCTACTTTCGGCTTCGACAACGATGCTAAACAGCTTGAAAGTAATAGTCTAGATGATGGTGATGCGGACAAAAAACGATCAGTGAGGATGATGATGATGATGATGATGATGATTGTTGCAACCATCGCAGAACAAACAATAAATCAGCATTGGCAAGACCGCCACCCGTGCTGATAGCAGTAGAATCTTACGCCCTATACTTTGCAATAGAAGCCGCGCGGCCTGGGTTGTAGGTGTTGCAGGACACAAAGTCCGTCATCTCGTAAATCGTTTGCTGGAGAAGACTTTGCTCACAGAATGCCAGCGTAGACGATCCGGTATCCAGCAAAAGTCTCTGTGAAGCCACCTGGGTTCTTTCTGACTTGTGATCTTGTGTGTTTGGGCCAGGTTCTGTCGCGGATCTTTCTCAGGAAGCGATCAAGCCATCAAACCATTCTATACAAAAGGCCAGAGGCCATGTGAACAAGATGTGCTATACCAAGTACGTGTTGTGCATTTAACTCTTTGAGGTTGCACATCTATATCTATGTCTGGATCTGTGTGTATATTATATATATATATATAGATGTATATATTCTAATATAATTCTTCTGAACCTGAGGACCTCTTTGCCGGTCGCGGCTTCGGGCGCGACATCCACGAGCAGCCTGGGGCCCTCCAAAAACGTTGCGTGCAGCGGCACTGACAAAGAAGCCGTGGCTGTGAAGGCCGATGCCAAAGCAGCGAGCTGTACATTTCGC